GGTGAAAACTTGAAAAAGATTCGTGTGAGTGTGATATACGATAGAGGAAAATGTTAACCAAATCTGATATAAAGTCAGTACCCACTTTGTTAGTGTGGATTAACAAAATTAAATTAGTATAAGACATGGCTGTAACTAACTTATTTAAAACTACTTGCAGAAAGAAAATATTAAACTGAGCTTTCCAGTGGCTCAACAGTATGTCTAAAAGTTCATAGCGTTAAAAACAGAGTTTCGATACCCGTGGCAGATTGTCCATTGTGTAGCTTTGCACTTAGAAACAAAAGATGACAACAGGTGATGACAAAACATTGTCGAAACGTTGTACATTTGCTGTTATGTTAAACTTATATTAAAGTTTTTCTTCATTACCCATTCAAGCCGTCTCTAGCCATTATTAACTACAATGGATATCCCAGTCATATAAATTATAAATACTCGATTTGGGTACATCTTCATGATCTGAATCTATGAATACTTTGCGTTGGATTGGGCTGTTACGTACCCTTTGAAAAAGTGATTAATTTTGATGGCATCACACTACCTAGAAATTGTCAAACAATGTCAAAATGTAATTCTGATACATTTTGTTCGACCGTAATTTTGTATCAGCTGTGTTAGAAGATTTTGTTACATGACATGTTGATTTGCACATTCAAATCATTATAAAACTTAACCCTTTATAGTTTTAGTGAAGTAATTCAAGGTTGGGAGGCTCGTGGATTTAGTATTCAGAAGTAAAAGTATTGTGATTTATTGCACAAAGATTAAACGGTATATACTTCAACGGTATATATTGAAGAAACAAAGAAGAGTCTTGATTCTAGTTGACGAATTCTCAGTTGGCATTTTGAGAAATCAGAATATAAAACAATGATCAATATCATACTGAAACGCCGAAAATCCCCTCACCTATGGGCCTGAGCCCCGAATCTTTTAAACACATAACGACGTCTCTGAGTGCTCTCTTAAAGTATCAGGGATTATCTTTCTTAAAAGCGCCAAAAATACAACAGAAAAACACATGATCTCTGTAGCTGACCAATCAGAAAGAGATTTAATAAGTTCGACAATTGGAACTTGGGAACAATTAAAGTTTTGTGGATAAGAAATATATACTATAGGAGAGTAAAATATATACACATGAATAACTTTAAAGGAATAAGGACAATGAAACCAACCAAAAAGTCCTTCAGTAGATTCCCAGCTATTGCTAACCACTTGAGCTGTGGTATAGCGGACTTGTGGTGGTTTGGAGAAGTTCACATGTAAGGTGTATGCAGAAACAAACTTCAGCAGTGTTGAAGATATACGTTACTTAACAATGAACTTTTCTCACAATGTTGACATGTGAAAACAATGACACATCAGAAGGTTAACTACCAGTTTGACATCTAGGTGAGGGTAGATATTCCTAATCTAGATATTCAAAGAAAAAATAAGAAACACATTTGAACAGCAAAACACAGTGCCCAAACAAACAACTAGATGACATGATTTAAGATCCGGAAGACAAAGATAACTGAGATTTTGAATTTTTTGAAAGATCTGCTTTCAGGCAATGACGAGTACAAAACTGCTAGAGATGTGAAAGAAAACCTCACATCTGTTCTAATATCTTTGTATATTCTACACGAAAGAATGAGATGGAGATTGAACTTATGTTCTCAAACTATTATACCACAGCATTCTTATTAGAAAAATAAGTTCATGATGCTAGAAAAACACGCAGTCTTGACAGAAACGAATAAAACCCTATAATCCGAGCACTTTCGAAAGGTGGACCTTTTCTTCTTTATGGGCAAACTGGGAAAGCACTCTGGTTATAGGGTTTTTGTTCATTTCTAGAAAAATAACTATATCCTCACTAAACGTCTTAAAAAAGTGATAAAATGCACTGAAACATTCACAGAAATTAGCCATGTTTAGACAATAATTGAAAAACAGAACGAACCTTTATCACATAACTTTAACATTCACAGACATTAGCCATGTTTAGACAATAATTGAAAAATAGAACGAACCTTTATCACATAACTTTAACATTCACAGACATTAGCCATGTTTAGACAATAATTGAAAAACAGAACGAACCTTTATCACATAACTTTAACATTCACAGACATTAGCCATGTTTAGACAATAATTGAAAAACAGAAAAACAGTTTTGTTGTAGGCTTCACTTGCTATGGTAACAGACTTAATTTATTCGTATATATATATATACAGTAAATGAATTAACGCTATCAGCATTGGAATGAGCATATTTAATGCAATTTTGTTGTTGTAAATGCTATTCTACATAAAGTTAAATTTTCTCGATAACACAGAAAGGCTGTAGTGTGGACATTATCTACTGATGTTTAGTTTTTTATAGCTTCCTGGTGTGTTGGGCTGCTTTCTTAAGATAAGAGAACACAAAAGACTTTTCCTGATACACCTCTTAAGTTTGTCCGTTGTTCCACAAGCGTAGTAAAGAAGGAAACATTACCCATTCTCTCTAATTGAATGGATGCTAACATTGCACCAAGCTTCTAAACAACATCTGCTAAGCATCAATAACATTGTTTCACATCCATGTAACATTCTTAATCTAAGACTAACAAAAGTAGTAGAGGGACCTAAGAAGAAGGGGCTATTCATGGTAACCTTAACTGCCCCGGAGATTATTTAATTTACTCAAGAAAATCCTATTGGTCATCGCAGCACAAACTTTGAATAAGCTCACAGTTTACCTTAATGACGAACAAAATATGAAGGTCCTAATTCTAAAAATGTATTTTTTTGTGAAATAAGTATATTTTTTATAGGTGAATTGACAATAATTAAAGTTTCATTCGTCGTCCTGCTTTTCGTTACTAAGCTAAGTTCCTTATCAGTAATTCTCTTGTTGATGTACCGACACTATGTGTTCTTAAAGACTAACTGAAAAAATAGTTATACAAAGAAAAACACAATATAGCAAATATTGCTAGAGAAAAAAAAAAGTAAGGAAAATAAAAATGTGTTAGTAACAATGAGACTTAACATAACGACTTCAAATACTGAATAATAGATCTAGTGACGGAACATAATTAAACATTGAAATCAGTACATACAGGGTGTCCCGGAAGTCTGGACCCATAGGGAAAATAGGCATTATGTTCTTAAAGTTAAACAAACACATTTCTAATGTCAGTTGTATATGTACTAGGAAAGAAAATACACTGATAGTACAGTATGTCAAGAATTCATATATGTATGTCTGTTAACGGCATGCAATTTGAATAATGAATAAATTAAGAATAAATTGTGTATTTTCCCCTGTGGGTCCAGACTTTTAAGACACACTGTACATTTTAACTTCAAGGGCAGTTAATTAAAACAAGTTATTAAATCTGTTTTTAACCTATGTTCAATCTGAAAAGTAGTAAATTTTGAAAATTATAAATATCATATTAAGCAGTACGTTCCCCGGTGACACAGCGGTAAGTCTATGGATTTAGAACGCTAAAATCAGCGGTTCGATTTCTCTCGGTGGAAACAGCAGATAGCCCAATGTGGCATGTAACAAACCCACACACATTAAACAAGAATTGTGTTTTTAATTAAAAGAAAACTGGCAAAACAACTGTTTCAAAACAAGAATGTTTGCAAAATATCAATAAGTTCCTCAACAATTTTAAGTGATGTCTACATAAACTGCCTCAAGTTTTAAACGAGTTTTTGAACTACATGTTTTTGAGTAATGTCTACATAAATTGCCTCAACTTTTAGATGAGTTTTTGAACTACATGTTTTTGAGTAATGTCTACATAAATTGCCTCAAGTTTTAGATGAGTTTGAACTACATGTTTTAAGTAATACCTACATAATTTGCCTGAAGTTTTAGATGAGTTTTGGAATTACATGTTTTTAAGAAATGTCTACATAATTTACCTCAAGTTTTAGATGAGTTTGAACTACATGTTTTAAGTAATATCTATATAATTTGCCTGAAGTAGATGAGTTTTTGTACTACATGTTTTTAAATAACGTCTACATAATTTGCCTCAAGTTTTAGATGAGTTTGAACTACATGTTTTAAGTAATATCTATATAATTTGCCTGAAGTAGATGAGTTTTTGTACTACATGTTTTTAAATAATGTCTACATAATTTGCCTGAAGTTTTAGATGAGTTTTTGAACTACATGTTTTTAAATAACGTCTACATAATTTGCCTCAAGTTTTAGATGAGTTTTGAACTACATGTTTTAAGTAATATCTACATAATTTGCTGGAAGTTTTAGATGAGTTTTGAACTACACGTTTTTTAAGTAATATATACAAAATTTACCTCAAGTTTTAGATGAATTTTTGAACTACATGTTTTTTAAGTAATGTCTGCATAAATTGCCTCAAGTTTTAGATGAGTTTGAACTACATGTTCTACCTTTTGCTTTTTAAAATTTTTTTAATATCCCTAAATATTTGTATTGTTTTTCAGACATGTAAATAACATAGTATTATTTAAAATATTCTTGGTATAAACGATCCAAAAGATATAAAGTGTATTATATACAATAATTTTCTATGTATTTTTCAAATATTATTGCTTTTATTCGATCTAATTTTGAAAGGATTAGTAACTACAAAAAATATATTGTTTGCAATGTTAATTCAGGATATTCCATTTTTGTGTTTTTTATTCTTCTGCACAAAAAAGAAAAAAGAAATTCCTAGTTTTCAAAATTGTTAATCTTTCAAGAAGTTTGCTGTTAGCGATAAGAGCAACTCATATATTTTAGTATAAAAAGAATGGGAAATGCAGTCTCCATAAAAATGTTTTCTTTCAGTTATAATACGAATCTTAATATTTGGTATTAAAACTTAGGATGTGAAGATGTAAAAACGTCAGAGTACAATTGTATAAATTTAGGTGCATGATGTCTCATTTAGTTTTTTCAAAACAAGGAACTTTTAAAAAACAATTATAGGCACTTATGTTCGTCTGATGCAGACTCAGTTACACAATCTCACCTACAAGTTTGTTCAAGCTAACAGCTTCCACGTCCAACAAAACAGATCCGTTTAGAATGTAGTTTCGAAGCTCAAGCAGAGAATGCAATGAAATAGTGGCCACATGAGGTTTCGACCACCTGTTTCCACCTTCTTCAACATCCTCTTCGAACTTAACCCACCTGAGGCAAAAAATAACAGTATATAAATATTATTATAAAAAGTAATGACTAATTTTATAAAACACTCAATTTTCATAAATAGTATATGTCTGGAATAATTTAATACTATTAGCTGCACAAAATGATCATAGGATAATTAGAATCTGCAACGTAACATCTATGATATGGCAAAATCACTAATACAAAATTACGTCCATTACTCCTATCAGTTTACCGTTATGTAAATTATGCCTCTGGTGATCCGTCACGTGATGTGAAATGCAAACGATTGGTCAATCTATTTTGTTTTGATTGTCATTTGTCGATACAGTCCTAAGAGAAGGTGCCACACGTGACCGCGTGGAAGTATGCTAGCCTAAGGATCAAAAGGTCCAAGATTTAATCTTTAATATACCATAGATTACACTCCTGGCAGTCATTCCTACCATTTGATGAAGTGGTGCTTATTTGGAGGGTTGGGGTCTATAAGGAGCCATATATGTTTGAAATAATAACTTGATCAAATGGAGTGGCCTGCACGCTCAGTGGAATTGAACCTCGTTAAGAATGTACAGGGTTTCCCCTGGAGACTGATTATATTACATCAAATAGTTGAAGAATATGCAGGATTTCCCCTGAAGACTGTTTATATTACATCAAGTAGTTGAAGAATAAGCAGGATTTCCCCTGGAGACTGTTTATATTACATCAAATGGTTGAAGAATGTACAGGATTTCCCCTGAAGACTATTTATATTACATCAAATGGTTGAAGAATGTACAGGATTTCCCCTGGAGACTGTTTATATTACATCAAATGGTTGAAGAATGTAAAGGATTTCCCCTGAAGACTTTATATTACATCAAATGGTTGAAGAATGTACAGGATTTCCCCTGGGGACTGTTTATATTACATCAAATGGTTGAAGAATGTAAATGATTTCCCCTGGAGACTGTTTATATTACATCAAATGGTTGAAGAATGCAAAGGATTTCCCCTGAAGGCTGTTTATATTACATCAAATGGTTGAAGAATGTACAGGATTTCCCCTGAAGACTGTTTACATTACATCAAATAGTTGAAGAATGTACAGGATTTCCCCTGGGGACTGTTTATATTACATCAAATGGTTGAAGAATGTAAAAGATTTCCCCTGAAGACTGTTTATATTACATCAAATGGTTGAAGAATGTAAAGGATTTCCCCTGAAGACTGTTTATATTACATCAAATAGTTGAAGAATATGCAGGATTTTCCCTGAAGACTGTTTACATTACATCAAATAGTTGAAGAATGTACAGGATTTCCCCTGGGGACTGTTTATATTACATCAAATGGTTGAAGAATGTAAAAGATTTCCCCTGAAGACTGTTTATATTACATCAAATGGTTGAAGAATGTAAAGGATTTCCCCTGGAGACTGTTTATATTACATCAAATGGTTGAAGAATGTAAAGGATTTCCCCTGAAGTCTGTTTATATTACATCAAATGGTTGAAGAATGTACAGGATTTCCCCTGAAGACTGTTTATATTACATCAAATAGTTGAAGAATGTACAGGATTTCCCCTGTAGACTGTTTATATTACAAATAGTTGAAGATTCATAAGGAGTTATCAGGATCTTGTCAACACTCTGACTTTAAGCTTTGTAACACTGGTGTCAGGCTATCTTTGCCTGTGGCCTTATTACATGTTGAAAAAAAAACATTCTATGGACTCTAAAGATGTTAATATACCTCTGTTTAATGTGATCTTACAGGTTAAAGCAGAGTGGTCGGTTATTTGCACTTCAGATCATATGACAGATTATCATATACCTGATTTTCATAAAAAATTTACCTGATAGAGTGATTTATATTATCTTATAATAGTGGTTTTGAGATGTATCGGCATTTAATACAAATTTCAATTATTATTTATACGTGCAGTGTAGGCTATGTATAAAGTAAGTGAAATTGTTACTTTTTCTCTCTCTTAAAGCCTGTGTTGGAAACAAGATTGTGTGTTTTCTCTTCAACCTGACCCAGAGATTGTTCTAGGCTATTATTGTTGGGGTGGCAAGTGTTTATTTGGGGGTCCCTGCATGCGGTGATATTCTCAGCAGACATAGGCGTGAATAAACAGCTACAATTTCCGCTGCTTAACGTTGGATAAATTTGTAAAGTTGTGATTTTTGTCTAGAAAAAAGGGCCCCTTTGCACCTGACCTCCCGCTTATTAGGTCCCTGAGCCTACTTTTGACGAGAAAAATACATTTTTGTGTGTTGTCGTTTTCCTAAATCATGTCTTTCACAAAAACTTAGCTCATTGTACATCTTTATGCTTAAGAACATGTGTCTGTGTTTATTATAAGCCTAATTTTGGATGAAAGAGTGTATATTATTATACTATTTTTCCTTTCTTTTTGTCCAGAAGACTGACTTTGATAGAGGGGCATATTTTAAATTTCAAACGTAGCTTTCATAGAAGGATTTTTTTTTCTTATCGGGCCTAACATTGAAAGAACTTTTTCCCGTTAACAAAACTTTCATAGAGAGGTGATATTTTTCATTTTCATCAAGCCGAACTTTCATAGAATTTCTTCTCGAGTCTTGTTTATCCGAAATGGTTCAGTAGTAAGTTTATATACTATAGTTCGTTGTTTGTAATTAAGGACAAAGGTACACAATGGGTTATCCGTGCTCTGCCCACCACGGGTATCGAAACCCGGATTCTAACTAGAGTTCTTGATTTATTTGTTTGTTTGCTGTTAAGCGCAAAGCTACACAACGGGATATCTGCCCATTACATGTATCGAAACCAGGTTTTGAGCGTTAAACGCCTCCAGATTACTGCTCAGTTAATGCGGAGAAGTTAATCATTAAGCCTAACGTTAATAGAAGATCACATGTGTGTTCTTCTCAATCTTAATTGTGGTAAAAAGATTAATGTTTCTTGTTTTTCTTTTTTTTGTCAGGTTTTGTATGAGGGCCGGGATTTATTACAATAGGCATCTAACTTGTTGGCGATAAATTTCAACAATAAACGGACAGTATATATTCCTCTTGTTTTAAAATAATATATATATATTCAAAACAAGTCAAGCGTATGAACAAAATTTGTTACACTATTGTTTACCACAGTTATATGTAGAGCTTTAGATAATTCTCTTTTACGTCAACAATGGTTCAATTACTTTAGAACACCCTTTGACAAGACAAATTATTATCTTTGTTACAATACAAACTGTGAGACTTTCACTTTAGAAATCGCCCGTTATGGCTAAACTGACAATCATGCAGTCTAACTTCACTTTTTATCACTTGTACTTTCACTAACTTACTTCCTCTCTGTATCTGCAAATATTTATAACATTTATATTGATGATATGACATAATTTAATGTCCGTTATTAACCTCGCTAGTAAACAATGCAAAATAGTTATTTTGGCATATTTTAACTATTCCCCAACTGAAAGAAACAAAATATTCCCTTCACCATCGGTGAAGACATCGGTGGATGCAAGGGAGAATGGGAAATTACTGGAATTGTTGGAAAGAACAGCATATTTGTTTTACCACATATAAAAACCAGCGTTTCGTACGAAAGTTCTAATGGACTTATCCTTGATTCAGAACAAAAGTTCCGGTTATTGAATTCATGGAAGAAAGTTTCAGCAACTACAAAAACACAGATATTACTAACTTTATTTAGTGCATTGTTGCCGTGTTGAAAAACACAGATATTACTAACTTTATTTAGTGCATTGTTGTCGTGTTGAAAAACACAGATATTACTAACTTTATTTAGTGCATTGTTGTCGTGTTGAAAAACACAGATATTACTAACTGTATTTAGTGCATTGTTCTCGTGTTGAAAATGAGCTCAAGGTAGTTGCTGAAACATTCCATGGTTCGGAAAATCACATTATGAAATAGAGAGGCAAGATATTTCAATGTGCATTGTGATGAGTAACTACTGAAATGTATTTAACTATATCATTGAAAATTCCGCTGACCTGGTATGACTGTTGTTAATGGAGAATGAAGCTGCTATTCCAAACTCAGATTGATCAAAAGCTATTTGAGTTCAAGCATGAAATAAGTTAATTACAAGAACATGAAACTATACTTGAAGTAAGGAGTGTGAGATTTTCTGAAGGAAAGCAATAAAAAAAGTGAAGTTTCTGTAACTGTAAAAATTTTGAAATTTCACAACAGTCACATGTAAACTAATACTGTGACATTTACGTTGACTTTATTAAATATGCAGAAATAAATGAATTTGACCTAGTTTTGTAGTATCCGTTTTGTTTCAAAATTGAAAGCAAAATTGCAATGGAGAAACAGCTTAAAAATTGCCTAGTTATCAAAAGATCAGTTAAAAGTATTGACAGTGATTTTTTACTACTATTGTTATTTATCAGAAACTATGAAAGCTATATGATGTAGTTATTTCATTTCTTTATCATATTCATTGCTACATTCAGTGTTATTTAACATCAAGTTTATGCTCTATCTAAATACGTTATATAATACCTTATATAATACGTTAAATGTGGTTCAGTTTGTTAAGCAATATTTATTTCAAAACTTTTGAAACGAACGCACTTTCAATATCTTTCATATTATCACGATTTTTTAAACATCATAAGAGGGAGTTCCTAACAAAGTTTCATTTGTACAGAATGTGGCTTTCACACTTGGTATGATATATGTTTCATTGTCAAGAACTGCATCACCTGACAACATGTTCATACTCACAACTAAGAAAACTCGCAGTGTTGTATGTATATCTAGTCAGTAATAAACTGTTCAAAACGTTTATTTCTATTCCATTCATTGTCATACTAAAGTAATTGGGCCTAATATCCAACAATGCCTTTCGCAGGAACTAGCACAAACAGTCGCCCGGAGGGCGGGGTTTCTGCTAGTAGCTTATAATTATTTACTAATTTTCAAAACCCCATGAAATTCACTTTAACAAATATTGTTTTAAAGCAAACACCGGTTACATTAAATACACTGGATGAAGGTGGTATTTCCTAACATAAAATATTTTTAATGTGTTGAAGGAGTTAAATAACATTATCTACCATACCTTGCAGTCTCACGCCATTCAAACTCTTCGCCTTCCTGATGTAGCTCCACCAGCTCACTAAAAAGTGGGTGGGTTTCATGATCATCTTCTTCTCCTACTGTGAAACGAACTCCTTCTGACAGCACTTAACAATAAAGTTTTCAGTTTTAATAGCTGAATTTAAAATATAAATAAGATAAGTTCAAATATAAACTTAAGACAAATTAACACACGTTTAAGAAAAATCTTGATTTTGTTTTACTTTATGCGACGTTTAGGACAAATGCCCTTCGTCAGTATACAGTATTGGAAAATAGCAATCAGGCTAAGGGAAAATCGTTGAAGGGTTAGAATATATATATGTTCTAATCACGTCTAATGTGGAGCACTTTTACAAATATTTGGTCTCCCATCCCATTGGATCAGCGGCGAGTTTAAGGACTTACAACATCTAAGGTTCTATTCCCCGTGGTGGACAAAACGCAGACAGCCTATTAACTTCAGTTCAAGCAACCAAAATTGTATTTCGAAAAATAGCAGTTATCATCGTAACTACATACACACACACACACACATATATACACATACACACACATATATACATACACACACACATATATATATATACGTACAAACACATATATACACATACACACATATATATACATATACACACATATATACATACACACACATATATACACATACACACACACATATATACACATACACACACACATATATATGTATACACACACACACATATATACACATACACACACATATATACACATACACACACACACACACATATATATACATACACACACACACACACATATATATACACATACACACACACATATATACATACACACACACATATATATATACGTACAAACACATATATACATACACACACACACACACACATATATATACGTACAAACACATATATACACATACACACACACACACATATATATACATACTAACACATATATATACGTACAAACACATATATATACACATACACACATATACATACATACACACACACATATATATATATATAAGTACAAACACATATATACACATGCACACATATATATACATACACACACACATATATATATACGTACAAACACATATATACACATACACACATATATATATACATACACATACACATATATATAAGATTAAAGAATAAAAGTAATATCCAAGTGAAACATTACAAGGCGAAAAAGCTTTCACCAATCTGATATTAAAACTGGGATCAAACAAGGAATAATGGTAAGTAAACACATTTAGAAAAAAAAACATTCTTATGGGAAAAAAATTGAACGGAAACATTATTTGAAAGTAAAGCTTTCGTTAGTTCTGGAGTTTAGTTGGATACAGTAAATGACGCATTCCGACGTTCAGATCTAGGACCAACTAGTGTAGTGTTATTTGAGATATATGTGCAGGTATAGCAATGTTTTCTAGCACATTTGGTAGTTAAAGTAGCAGGAAAATAGTTGTCTTATAGCTTTGAATGCTTCAAGTGGTTACGTCTATAAGAGCTTAAAGGAGGTGCAGTGAATATGTAAGTAGTGTTGAATAAATTTGAAAAAAATTGTATTAGATCTGTTACTTACGTACTGGTGTTGATATCTAATGGATTCTGTCATTTACCTTTGTCTTTCGGTTGGATGACGTCGGTACATGATATGATGTGTTTATATGGTTTTGTGATGATGTCAGGAGGATAGTTCCGTTGTTCGAAGAAACATGCTGTTTAAATATCTATGTACCAAAGGTCTTGATCATCAGAACATACATGTCTTAGTTTTGTTAAATGTCCTTTTGGAACAGCAGCCTTGTTTTCATAGGAGTGTAAGTGGATCTGTTGTTAATGTTATTGTAGCGTACTGTGGTTGTAAGTGAAATGTGAATATTGATGTCCAGAAATGAGGAGCTTGTATCAGGGATTTGGTAAGTGTTTGGGTGAAGTTTATGGACTGCCCTACTTGAAACCTGGTACATGTAACAAAACTTTAAAACTTCGCCAATGTAATGAATAAAGAAATCAGAGTAAATATCACTAAAAGTCATATAAAGACATTGCTCAAGCTAGTCAGTAAACAGACAAGCGAATGAAGAAAGTAACATGGAAATACCGGTGAGTTGTTGATACAGTTGGATATTGAATTCAAATATATTCGTAGTTTAAGTATGGTAATACTGGCAGTGTCTCTTTTGTTTAAAAGGTGTTTGAGAACTGGCATGCTGTTGCTGTGAGGTAGACTATTATATATATCAACATATGTGAAGATGTAAGTTGTGTGTTGAAAATGTTTAAAGCGGTTTGGAACATATATGGTCCATTTAACACAGGAAGGGACTAGAAATGACTAAGGGTAGCAGCATATAATCTAAATAATTAAAGATTTGTTGTGTTGTGTTATCGCAAGCCGAAACAGGATAGCTTTGTGAATCCTAGGAAATAAATAAAACATTCCTGTTCGAGGATTTGTTTTAGAATTAGCTTTTTGGCGTTGCGAAAGGAGGTCATTGCATTTTAAAAGTTCTTGTGGAGTTGGGAATTTGTTTCTGGTATTCCTGGATGGAGACTTATCGAGTGTTTTGTAGAAGTTGTGGTTGTTCAGTTGTTTGTTGGCTTCTTCTATGTAAAAATCCTGTTGCTACGCGACTACAGTAATGTCGGCTGTTTGAATTAGTATGTATACGTGTGAATCTTTGGTGAAGATAAGGAATTTCTTTCTTTATGTTATGTCGGGAAGTTATTTTCTTTCGATTTACTGCATTATTTTCAGTTTGACGAATGTTAATACATGTGTCAAGAATTGATAGTTCTTATAGTGTCCATTGATGCCTTTTAGGCTCCGGTGACTTACAAAACCATATGTAGACGTGAGTCATCAAAAGCATTAGTGTTTAAAGCATCAGGGTCACTAATAGGTATTTGATTGGTTGTTTCGCTCCCGACGTGGTAGGTGTTATATTCACATTAGTTTTAGAACTGATATGTGATTTCAAGAGGAAGCCTCTTAACATATTGCTGACGGGTTACGAGTTTACTTGTGTTTGGTGCAGAGCGTCTTTGTGTGCCATTTATTAAAACGTTGAGTTTGAAAGGAATTGAACGCGTTTCATTTTGTTCATAACTCAACTATATTATCTATTATTTATTTGTAAGTTACTGACTATGTACATGAAGTCACCTAGTAAATTTTTAAAGTCTGGTATCTTGTAAAACATTTTCCTATATGGAGTGGAACCACACAAAACTTGCATATGTATCATGTTTCACATCTTTTCCCATGTGCAGTACAAACTCTGCCGGCTTTGGTAGGAAATTTATTTTTTTCTTGTAGATGAAATGAGAACAGGAATATGCTACTTCATGTCACCAGACAGTCTTCCTGGGGGATCCTGATATGGGGCTCTCCTTGTACCTTCAGATGATGGACTGGTTTCATTCCTCTCTATTTCCAGCGAGCCTTCTTTCTCTTTGTCAGTAATCCAGAGAGGAGGAACTGCTTATATTTTATTTTCTGTTGATTCAGGGCCTTGTAGATTATATATATGAATTGAAAAGGCCACAATTGGATAAACAACCAACACACAAAAACCTCTAACTTACATGTTCATTACGGATAAACAACCAACAAACAAAAACTCCTAACTTACATGTTCATTACGGATATACAACCAACACACAAAAACCTTTAACTTACATGTTCATTACGGATAAACAACCAACAAACAAAAACCCCTAACTTACATGTTCATTACGGATAATCATTCAACACACAAAAACCTCTAATTTACATGTTCCTTACGGATAAACAACCAACACATAAAAACCTCTAACTTACATGTTCAACCATTGTCCACTGCTATTCTTCACATACTAACACTTTCTAAACAAATAACGTTTATTTCCTACCATAAGTTACCGAACTACTTCTCACTATCAATATCTTTGAATTCAACGACCAACTTTCAAAATAATCCATTGGCACGAAAATAAGTTCTTGTTGGCTACCTCGAGGAGCGTCTTTATATGACCTTTGATGTCACTTTTTTGGACTTTGTTTTAATCGTTGCAATGAGGAAATTTTAGGTATCATTTTGGTATCATTCACCAAAACTCAAGTAAAGCAGTTCATAAACGTTATTCAACAGCTTCACCTATACATTTACCAAACTTCTGATACAAGTGTGCAGTTCATAAACGCTATTCAACAGCTTCACCTACACACTTACCAAACCTCTGATACAGGTGTGCAGATCATAAACGCTATTCAACAGCTTCACCTACACACTTACCAAACCTCTGATACAAGTGTGCTGCTCATAAACGTTATTCAACAGCTTCACCTATACATTTACCAAACCTCTGATACAAGTGTTTTGTTTCTTTACTGTTTTTTTTTTGTTAAGCACAAAGCTTCAGAACTGGCTATCTTTGCTGTGCCCACCACTGATATGGCTATCTTTGCTGTGCCCGCCACTGATATGGCTATCTTTGCTGTGCCCACCACTGATATCGAAACCCAGTTTTAGCGTTACAAGCCATAAAACGTATCGCTGAGCCCCGAATTTATTGAAATCAATATTAGGTAACTTACTTAAAATACTTAGACTAACATTCTTCCTACCACTACAAAAACAAGGCTACCATTCTTAAAGTACTTACTTAAAATACTTAGACTAACATTCTTCCTACCACTACAGAAACAAGGCTACCATTCTTAAAGTACTTACTTAAAATACTTAGACTAACATTCTTCCTACCACTACAAAAACAAGGCTACCATTCTTAAAGTACTTACTTAAAATACTTAGACTAACATTCTTCCTACCACTACAAAAACAAGGCTACCATTCTTAAAGTACAGATCACAAGATTAAGACGATTGTGCTGTGAGAACTAAGACCTTTTCTGAAAGTTACTAAAATAACAGGATTTTTCTGGCAGTATAACTACCCCGCTGACGTTGTCACAAAAGCATAAAACTATATATATATACACTGTGGTACATACCGACTCCATATATATCAAAGACAAATGTCAAACAGACAGAATACCCTTGTTATTAACAAACCACATCTAATCAAGTTAATAATAAA